ATTTAAAATTTTTTAGTGTTATATTTAATTATAATTATCTAGAAAGGATTTAATAGTAAATTTAAATAATTATTTAAATTGAAATAAGTTATATAAAGTGTACAAATTGCCCGTCACTTTCATTAAAAGTGGAATAAGTCGTAACATAGTAAAGGTATTGGAAAATGTTTTTATTAAAATTTTAATTAAATAAGTAGTATAATTCATTTAGAGTGAAATAAATTTTTAATTAAGAAAATTTTATTTATTTTATTTATTATTATTATAAGAGTGTGTAAGTTTTAAATTTTTAAAAAAGATTATTATATAATTTTAAGTTTTAGTATTTATTTAAGAATAAATTTAATAATTTTAGGTTGTATTGTGAAAGATTTTAGTAACATTGTTTAAAGTAGAAGTTAATTTTGTACCTTTTGTATCAGGGTTAATTAATTGATAATTATAAATTTTAATTTTCTCGAAAATAAAAGAGTTAATTTAATATTATTTTTTATGCATCATAATAATTATTAATATTAAGTTATTTAATTTGTAATAATAGTTAAATTATAATATTATATTATTATTATATATATAATATTATTATATTATTATTAATTAAAATAATAATTAAATTATAATATTATATTATATAATAATAATTATTTTAAGTTAGTTAAGTTAGTTAAATAAATACTTTGAAGAATAGAACTTTGTGAAATTTATGAGCGCAACTCTGACTGGAGCAATGGAAACAAATTGCTGGAAATCAATTATAAATTGACAAAGTGAATTTTATAAAATCACATTGTTTAACAAGCAAAGTTCCAATTTTTATTCTGCGATGCTGCGATGAAAATATCGTTTGCTACCTCGTTTTGATGAAACTGATTAAAACCACGCCTCGATCTCTTGCCACGCGATGAAAGATTCGAAAACCATGTGAAAGATAATTTTCTAAAGTGACACCGCGCAAGAGAAAATAACCGGCCGTGTTGCCAAACGGCGCTAACAATGGTCGTCGCCTGAACCATAATTCCGCGTCTGAAAAACATTCTCCGATATACACCTCCATTGTGTTATCTCGGCCGGTCTCTTCGACTCCATACACTAATTGACTCTCGAGTGCCGTTCCGACGTTTTCTGCTCCTTAACAATGCGATCCTTGGTTTAGCTGTCGCGCTAATCGAATCGTGAATTATCTGAGCCGGGCGCGCAGCGATTGTTACGCGAATATCGCGGCGCGCACACAATGCCCGGCCGGTGGTGAGTTAGTGCCCCGCCACAATCGAAGGGTCAACGTTGCCAACAAGTTGCGCTAATATTTGTGAATCGAAATTGCAGAAGGTGTCGGCGCGTATCGAGCGAGCCGCGACGCCCGGTTCGGCGTCGAAAATATTTGACCCAGAATTTCCTTTTTGCAAAGGGTGCCCCCGTCCGTCCGTGTTTCGAGAGCGGCGAAAAATTTACGGGGCCATTGTCGGCGATAAAATATGCACATTTAACCGTCGCTTTTTTTTCCTTTTTCTTCTTTCTTTTTGTATTTAAGCTCGACGTAACCGACCGAATGGCTGAATAATTCAGCATTCGGAATTACACGGCTACGGGCTCGCGGCTCGCGAAAAATATCGCGGGGGCTCTGTATGGGCCGGCGGTGTTTATTTAGACTGCACCTGGGAAACGGGGCGGTGCGCGCGTAACCACTCATCGCGGCTCAGTTTGTTTATCGCTTTTACCTCGTTTCTGAGAACAAATTCTGAAAGTCTCTCGACAAATACGGCCGACATTCATTCGCGGTGTGCACGCCGCTGTAAACAGTTTCTTTTAAATATGGTGGATACACACGTTTCCCCCCATTTGGCGAGCACATGTCGCGCGGTGCGCCGGCTTCTGGTAAAGTTTTCCGCGGCGCGCGATTCAGCTTGCCTCGCCCGGCCCCTCGCCCCCCGCGCCGCCGCGTATAGATGTAACAATTTTTTGCGACAACTTAAACCTGACCCCCTTGTTAACCTCAGAATTTATTCACCGCGCCGGATGCCCCGCGGCGGTGCAATCCTAAGACTTCTTCTTCGTTCGGCATTCGCGAAACCGGCGGCGGCGCGCCGCTGACCGGCAAAAGTCTCTGCGACAGGTCGCGCGATTCCATTGAATCGCGGAGCCACGCCGCCGCGTCCGTTTAATTGCGAATAATTTTTCGTTCACCGCTCCGCGGCGTGATTTATTATTTCGCGGCTGGCAAGGGTCTCTTTGCCGTTAATAATTTCCTAGCAGGAAACGGAACCACACGTTCTCGTTATACGCGCCCGTGTTTACCGTAAATGCTCTGTATTCATAAGCGCAAAATAATGTTTCCCTTCAGCTCCTGTCAACTAGACCGTATTCACGTTTGCTAAATTCATTCTAAAGTCGCCGACCGAAAAGGCTCGGCGCCACCGCCCCGCCGTGGGGGGATGCGTGTTCATTTTTGACGCACGTTTTGATTGCAGAATAAGTTTCCAGTTTAAAAGACTCCGTATCTGCGCGTTTCAAACAGTTATCGTGTAATAGAGTTGGTCGTAGAATCATTTCGAAGCTGATATAGTATTGGGTTGTGCGGAAGGTTCGTGACGATTTTGGAACGCAAACGATTTATATTTTAGTATACTTTTATTATAGTATACAGCGTGTCCCAAAATTATGGTATTTCCGGGAAATGAGGGGTTCCTGAGGTGATTTGAAGTAACTTTTTCCTTTGCGAAAATGCAATCCGTGGTTTCGTTTACGAGTTATTAACGAAAAACAGTGACCAATGAGAGGCGAGCTCGGCTGGCGCGGAGCGACCGAGCCAATGAGCGGAACCGGGCTCCGCGCCAGCCGAGCTCGCCTCTCATTGGTCACGGTTTTTCATTAATAACTCAGTAACGATGCCTCGGAGAAAATTTTTGTAAAGGAAAAAGTTGCTTCGAATTACCTCAGGAATCCCTAATTTCCCGAAAGTACCATAATATTGGGACACCCTGTATA